AATCTGGTCAACAGAAGTGTAAAATATTTTAGGTTCCATCAGCTTTTCCCTGCTGATGTGATGGGTTCTTCTTTTCACTGGGGATCCAGGGTTTGAGAGGGTAGAAAACACTTTTCCAGCACAAGAAAAGGTGCTGCGAATATCCTTCAGTGCAGGATCCTGCTGTGGGTGTGTGGCACCGTCGGGCAGTGAGAAACGAGGGGGAGTTGGGCTCAACTCCCCCCCAAGAAGAATCAGGAAGGATTTTCAGTAATTTTCATTACAGTTCCATCCAAACACTACAATTCCACCCGGTTTTCTTCCCATTAAATGACCTCTGTGAGATCATTCTCTGCTTTAATAGTATCTCTGTTCAGATTCCTTTGGCTTCTTTTTATTGAGGCGCTTGGGGGTGGTTTTCTTGTTTTTTTTTTTTTTCTTTATTGTTCTGCAGTTTAATTTGGAGTAAATTCTTGTCTGTCTTCATAGGAAATCAGAAATTAAATGTTAAAGCAAGTACAAAACTGATCCCGTGTAACCTGGGGCTGGGCAGGATTTGTCTCTGAGAGGCAAATTCTGCAATCTTTTGGGAGAGGTATTTTAGTTTAAATAAAAGCAAAACTTAGGAAGTCTAAAACACCATCAGTCTTATTGTGACTTTTTGATTTTGTTGTGCAGTTTTGTACCTTATCTGGGCTTATATTCCTGAGACTTGGCTCTTCTCCCTGGGACTGACATACTGGCCTCAAAAGTAAGTTCAGCCAATAAAATAAATTTAATCTTAGTTATTTTCAAATAAAAAACTTTATTTTTAAATAAGGGCCTAGAAAAAAATCAATTTTCCCCTGCTGATAAAGAATTGTAATGTTTCTAAAGCATTTTTTAAATGTAGCTAAGGTGAAAGGGTTTTGTTGTGCCATGAAATAAATAATATTGGGATGCTTTAGGATAAATTTGACATTTTGCTTTTTAGGAAGTCTGCTAGTGGAAATACAGTAAAATGTAGGGCATAATTAAACAATAAAGACCTTTTTGAAGGAATTTATCTGATGGTTTATCAGTAGCTCCAGTGGAATCAGGATTCATAATCAGAGGTGCTGCTGCTTTTCCTCTTGTAGAAATTCATCACAGGTACAATGCCAACAATTAAAGCCAATTCATTAGTAGGCATTTGTTACTAAATATAAAATTTCAAATCTTTTTTTTCAGGTACTGGGCAGTTGCTCTGCCAGTTTATCTCCTGGTGGCTGTGGGAATTGGTTATATTTTGCTTTTTGGGATTAACATGATGAGCACAGCTCCACTCAACTCCACTCACACCATCACAGGTGATTTTACTGCTTATTGAAAAGTTGGATCCTTCACTGAGAATTCTAGAAATCTATAGAGGATAAACCCCGAAATTTAAGCCTTTAAATATTTGATTTATTGGAAGCCCTGGTGGGGTTTTCAGCGTCCTTTAAAGTAAGCTAAATTTGTAGTGCTGCCTTATAAAATTATATCATATTCTTGGAAGAAAAGGACCTGGAAACCATGAAATGCTCTCCTTATCTTTTGTAGATAACTTTGCAAAAAAGCAGCAGCAGAAGAAATTCCAGGAGGAGGCAATTCCAGCCCTGAGAGATATTCCCATCAGTGAAGTCAACAGGATGTTTTTTCTCCCTGAAAAAGGCATCTGCAATAGCAGATAGTTGTTACTAAAATCTGTTTGGACAAAGGATTGATAAAAATTACTGAGGGACGATTAAAACCTCTCCAAGCTAAAAAAAAAAAAAAACTCTTTCAGCTTTTTTCCCCCTGAATTTCTAATTAAATTCATATGGCTTCATTATTATTATTATTATTATTATTATTATTATTATGCACCTTATTAACCTGCATTGCTCTGAAAATTATGCCCCAGTCATTTATCTGGTTGTTCTTTAAAAATTAAAAAAGTGGGTTGAAAAGTGTTCTGTTACTTGCAGCTTTTTGCTTAGAATTCCCCTCTGAGCGGGGAAAAAAAGCAGCTTTTAGACAGTTTAATTCTATTTTTTTTTTAAATTCAGGGAGAGAAAAATGTGTTTTGCCAGTCAAACACTTGAGGATCTTTTTCAATTATTAACTGGAAGTGTTTGCATTGTAAATATATCATTTGCCTTTGTAAATATTAATAAAATGTGACTGATTTTTCCATCTTCACCATTTTCCTGTGATTCTGGGAGGTTTCTCCTGGGTTGAGGTGATAAATTCTCCATTTTCCTTCACAAAATTCTTTATTCAGCCAAACCTGTTGATCCCCCCACCCCCCCAAAATATCAGATTTACCGAGTTACCAAAAATAATAAAGGTGGGTTGTGAAGATTTGCTGAAACAAGGCTTGAAATTACTTCTTTAAACTTATTTTTAAGAACACTGACAACAAAGTTCAAGGGAGTAGCAGGAAATAGAGGAAGTGACAGGTCCATGCTGTTAAAACCCAAGGTTAAGTGGCTCAGATGTTTTTTAAACAGTGAATTTTGCTTCACAAAAATAAACAGTGAAGTTTATTTCCCTTCTCCCAGGTGTCACAAATTCCGGTATCTCCAGGACTCAATGTTATTTAGGTCTTTTATAAAGCCCAGAACCTCATTATTTATTAACCCTGTAACCAACTTCAGCAGAGAATTGAGTTTAAAATGTTATTATTTCATTGAAGGATAATAAAATTTTGAGAATTTGCCTGAAGAATCCTATGTCAATTCTTTAGAAATCTGTCAAAATGATCATCAGCTGCTCTGGAATTTTTTAAGACTTGGTTAAAAATCATTTTGGTATGAATGTAGATCTGAAGTTGGTTTTTCTGGCTGAATTTGGAGGAAAAATCTCCTTGTTCAGTATTCCAGGTGGGATTTGTTCTGGTTTGATTTTGGCACAGTGCTAGTGCCCTTATGGAAAGTCAGCCTCCCAAAATGAGTGCTGTGGGATGTGGTCAGGAACAGAGCAGGGCAGGCTGGAGCTTAAAAACAAAGGGGAAAAAAAACTTTATTACACACACAGAATTTAGGATGGAAACTTTCTAAAACATTTCTACTAAAACACAGTGTGACACAACTTTGCATTTCTGATTAAGTTACTACTCTTTAGATGAAAAAATATTAGTTTACAACTACAATAAAAGGAACACACTGAATTTAGGATGGAAACTTTCTAAAACATTCCTACTTAATTTCTACTGAAACGCAGTGAGACACAACTTTGGATTTCTGATGGTTACTACTCTTTAGATTATTAATTTTTCGTTTATTAAGGGAGAGAGGAGTCTCTCCTGTGCCATAGACCCCCAGGAAACACAATTGCAACTTTTTGTGTTTCCATGTCACACGTGGCAGAGAAAATCTGCTTTGTGACATCTTTTTTTATGTGATAGTGCTTTTATTACTGGACTAAAACTGCTCATTGGGTTCTCTTTTAAGGATGTTTTGAAGGACTAAAAGAGAACAGTTTCTCATTTTTGGGACAACAGTCCCCCCCATGTTTTCTCCTCTCCTGGGGGTGATGGTCTTGAAAAGAGAGATCTTCATCCCTGAAGATTGAGGGCACCACCACACCCTCCTCGTTTTTTTTTTTTTAATGTTTACTTTTGCACTTTTTTTGGCTTAAGTTATTGTATCTTTCTAAAAATGCAGTCTCTGTGTTGCAGGAGAAAGTTGGTTCAGTCTGTGGTTATACAAGAAAAGTCCAGCCAAGGCCACTCCATCATCTCCTCCCACCTCGGATTTTTTCCCCATCTCTTTTTGACATCTCAGGTCCCACCCTGGCTTCTCTTCTCTTTCAGATTAAGGAGTGTGAAAAATGCATGTTTTATGATTGGCTTTCCACAAATATTACAGTGAATATTAACTATGTAATGTTAGAAAGTTATGCTGTATTAAATCTCTTAAGTAGTGTGTTATATATTTCGAGGTTATAACACAGTGTTAAAATAGAAACTATGCTGTGTAAGATAGTTTTTAACTAGCTCAAGAAAAAGATGAGATAATCAAGGAACTTTTCACACAGAGATAACAGAGATAGGGTCCATAAAGAATTACAGCCTCCTCATCAGAAAAGAAACATTCTTCCACCTGCTCTCCATCTTTATGGAACCACCAGGATTAGGGGGAAGAAGTTGACAAAAACCAGAAAAGTTCTTAATTTGCAAGGAATTTCTGCATCATGTATGAGATATATGAATATGCAACAGGCTGTTGCTTTTAAGGGTTATTCCTTTGTTCACAAGGCCTGGTTTTGGCAGCTCAGTGCCCAAAAACATCTGGACGTCTGTAATTCTTTGTTTTTTATTGTCTTGTGATTGTCCTAACTCAAAATTTTTATTACTCTAATTGTACTACTGTTTTTATAACCATTTAATTATTATTAATAAACTTTTAAACTTTTAAAACCTAAGTGATTGGCACTTTTCACATCCCCTAAGAGCTCTCTGCTTTTAACTCTTTGTGTTCATTCTCAAAAGCGTGTCCAATACTTTCAGTAGTTACTCTAAGTGTCACTATCTAAACTTAACTACTAATTAGTTTGACCCCAACTTCCTGAAAAAAATTTTCCTTTCTTTTTCAACTTAGGCCGGTTTAAACCCCTTCTTTTTTGAGGGAAAAAAAAAAAGCTTTTTCAACATTTCACTTTGAAATACTGAATTTTAGTTGTGTTGGCACGTGGGGGCATTGTATAAAAATGAATTTGTGTCTAAATTAGAACAGCACTGGTTTGTGTGGTAGTTTTGGGTTATTAATGAAGTTTTGGGGTTTTCTTTGCTGTTGTTTCTTAACTCTGCCACGATCCTTTCCTTTTATGAATTTTCAGTTTCATTAGTGATTTAATTTCCATTAAATCATGATTTGATGACCAGCAAACACAAAGATGTGTTGACTCTTTTGTCACTCCTCTAATCCCATTCTAGACATTGAAGTATTGACTGCAATCTTTTTCTTTTTTTTTTTTTTTCCCTGTGTATTTTCCACCCTTTTTGCTTCCTGAGAGAGCAATTTCATCTGGAATTCCGACCTGACACCGAGTGAAGGCCACATTTGGGATCATTTGATGGAAGGATTAATTCAGTGCCTTGTCAAGGATGCCCAAATCCCTCCAGGATCAAGGAAAGCTACTGGAAAACGCCCTGAGAAAACACAAATGAAAGGATGTAAACCTTGGGCAAAGGTTGGATCAGAGATTAATTTAATTTCTCTGCAGACCCCACAATGATGGGAGGAGCAAGAGGGAGGAGGCCAAGGGGGGCTGTTTGTTCAAGGAAAACTTGCAGGGGTGAAACTCAACCTTTGCTTTTCTGTCACTGCTGCTTCAAAGACACCGTGGTGATCTTTTCTTCACCTTGGCCACGTTTGACACTTCAGAAATTGCCTCTGGGAGCAAAATCAAACCAGGTGATAGTGGGGTTCTGGGGTTAAAATATGGATTTTGGGGAATTGGGGGATCTACAGGTCTTGCCTGTGACTGTGAGTAAGAAGATACACAGCTCTGCTAAGAGTAAAGGAGATTTTTATCTATAGATTTATATAAATTTTGCCTTAGGTGTTGAGGAAAAAAAATCCCCCACATGATTAACGGTGGTGCCTTTCTTTACAAAACACCCCTGGATATCAGGTGTCCATTATTCTCAGAGCCTGAGGGGAAACTAAGTAAAAAAAAAAAAAAAAAAAAAAAAAAAAAAAAAAAAAAAAAAAAACAACAAAACAACCTCAAAATTTGCCCTTATTTTCACCTTTTTGCCTTACTGGTAGAGTTCAATCCACTGCATTGTCCCTGCTGGAATAAAGCCAGGGATAAAAATTCAGTTTTGCATTTAAATGCAACTTTTTATGTTCTCCTGTGGTTTTTCTCCTGTTGGGAAAGGGAAAGGGAAAGGGAAAGGGAAAGGGAAAGGGAAAGGGAAAGGGAAAGGGAAAGGGAAAAGGGGAAGGGAAAGGGAAAGGGAAAGAGAAAGGGAAAGGGAAAAGGGAAAGGGAAAGGGGAAGGGAAAGGGAAAAGGGGAAGGGAAAGGGAAAGGGAAAGGGAAAAGGGGAAGGGAAAGGGAAAGGGAAAGGGAAAGGGAAAGGGAAAGGGGAAAAGGGGAAGGGAAAGGGACAGGGAAAGGGGAAGGGAAAGGGAAAGGGAAAGGGAAAAGGGAAAAGGGGAAGGGAAAGGGACAGGGAAAGGGGAAGGGGAAGGGGAAGGGGAAGGGAAAGGGACAGGGAAAGGGATCACCATGAAATAACGGAGGTGCCTGGGTTGCCATGGAATGGAGCTGTGCCAAAGGGGAGATTGGAGCTGCCAAATTTGTGTGTCTCTCTTCTTTCTATCTTGGCAGGAAAGGGAAGGATTATAAAAAGATGAAGTGTGAAGATGCTCCAAGGGCTGGAGGGAGGAAAGGCTGGCACAGCTGGGATTGTTCACCTGCACAGGAGAAGCTTTGGGCTGAGCTCAGGGTGGCCTGGCAGGGCCTGGAGGAGCCCCAGGAAAGCTGGAGAGAGACAATTTCCAGGGATGGAGGGACAGCACACAGGGAATGGCTCCCACTGCCAGAGGGCAGGGCTGGGTGGGATTTTGGAAATTGGGAATTGTTCCCTGGCAGGGTGGGCAGGGGCTGGGGTGGAATTCCCAGAGCAGCTGGGGCTGCCCCTGGATCCCTGGGGCAGGTTGGACCCTGGGGCTGGAGCAGCCTGGGACAGTGGGAGGTGTCCCTGCCATGGATGAGCTTTAAGGTCCCTCCCAATCCAAACCATTCCATGATTTCTCTTGAGTTGAGCAGATAAACTTTTGCTGTTCCCTAAAGCATTGTCCAGACCATCCCAAAATTCTTTGGAGCATAAGGAATTCTGCCAGCTTCACTGGATCATCTCAAACATCCCCTGTGGTTGGGCAGAGGGAGAAAGGAGCAAGGACAACCCAAGACCCCCTGATATAAAATAAAAAGCTCTAATATTAATATTTAATATTCATCCTGGGACACATCTGTGCTAGGGGATCTATAAACACAAAAAATGCAACAAGTTTCTCTGAACTTCAGTTTCATTTGTGGGTGGAAATCATAAAATGTTTCTGCCTTACAAACAAAACATTTGACTGATCTTGTGTAAATATATTTTGTTCACCTTTCTTGTGGGCCTGAGTTGGTGAAATGTTGAATTCAGAGTCCTGCTTGCTGAGTCCTGTTGTATTTCCAGTCAGCTTTCACCCAGCTGGGATGAATGGGGCGTTTTGTATCTCTCCATTCAGGAACTTTCTGTTTTTCTGAGGAGAAAGTTTTGGAAGGATTCAGTTTTCTTCTGCCAGTTCCCTCCCAGAGGGGCTGCCAGAGTCAGTTTTGTTGGGATGCTGTGCTGTGGATGAAAAGCAGCTGAGAGATGAAGCCAGTGCAGAATAAATAACATTAAATAGGAAATGTTTCAGTGAATTGGCTGGAGTTTGTCTCTGCAGCTCAGAAAGCTGCTGTTGGGAATATTGCCTTTTCTCAGTCCTGCTCTGTTGTCATTCTCCCTGTATAAATGTAATTTAGGAGAGAAAAAAAATCCTGTGATAATTCTTTTTCTCTTAATCCAAATTAATCCTGTGTTACATTTAGAAAAAAACACATTTCTGTGTCATGTAAGGATATGCTTCCCTTGGATATTTGTGTCTTTCAGAGGAAGGATATTCAAGGAAGCAGAATTCAAGACCGCTGTATGGAAATCAACTTTAATTATCATTTTTCATACAGGAGGAATTTGAAATTGTAGAGGTTTTGTGGTGGCACCCCTGTGGCAGGGAATAAGAAGTTGCTCTTTGCTGCCATCATTTTAAGGAATAGAAAATGAAAGCAGCAAAGCTGTATCGGGGAATAACAAGTTGCTTTTTGCTGCCATCTTTTTAGGGAATGGAAAATGAAAGCAGCAAAATTGTATCAGGGAATAACAAGTTGCTTTTTGCTGCCATCATCTTAGGGAATGGAAAGTGAAAGCAGCATTGACTGGAAGTGTTGCAGCTGAATTCCCAAGGGAAGGTTTTTGTGGCACAGAGAACCCGAGCCAAGAATTCCAGCTGCTCCCAGCCTTGCCTTTGAAGTGCTCCACTCACCCTAAACTCCTTTAGGGGATGCTTTGATGGATGGTGCTGAGGTCACCCTGGGTTTGCAGATGAGGTAAAAAAATCAGAAGTGGGAACTGAAAGTTCCCTGCAGCTGAATGCCAGTTTACTTTGGGGCTTAATTATTAACAAGCTGGGACCTCAGTAACTTTTTGGGTCATCACAGAGCAGTGAAATCATCCTGGATGCTCTTCTGTTTGCTTTTGCTGCAGACTAAATAATGAGGAAGCTGGAGCATTAGTAAATAAAAATAAATAGATTTAAAATTTAAGAATTAAATTTTAAAAAGCAAATACAATTTAAAATAAATACAATTATTTTAGGATATCTTGTGAAATACTGAAATTATCTGTGTTTGGAGATGTGGAAATGAATCTAAAAGCTGAATTTTCCTTTGTCATTCTGGGGTTTCAATTTCAACTCATTCTTGTCATTCCCAATATGGCAGGATGTTGTCTCCTGGTGTATATTTAATTAACGAGCCTCTTTTGAGTTTGCAAGAGGAGATCTTAAAAAAAATCCTTCATTCTAATAGGTTCATTCATTTGGTATCTGAATTTTTCCAGACTTAAAATGTGTGGCACTCCTTTGTTTGCCAGTACCTGACTGAGAGGAGGGGCTGGGACACAATTCCAGGGCTTCTGAAAAGTGTCTGACCTTATCTCACAACCACCTGAGGTGCAGGCAAGGTCAAAAATCTGGAATTCTGCGTTTGCTTTGTCTCTGGTGTGAAATACAAAGTTGTGTTTCTTGTCAGGTAAATACAGGCAAACTGTGTAGTTGTAATTGTGAAATGTGTGGAGCAGGGCCATGGGAGAGTGATAAAAATGAGTTCTGATAAACAACCAAGGAAATCATGGAAGAAGGCTTTTGAACCAATCTTTTGTTTGCAAATAACAATTATTAGTCTTGAGCTGTTTTGCAATAAGAACTTTTGAATTATAACTCTAGAATGTTGCTCAGTATTAAGGATTTTAAACTGTAGCTTTAAAATGTATGAGTCTTGAGTTGTTTCGTCACAAGAACTTTTGAATTATGACTTTAGAATGTTGCTGAGTACTAAGGATTTTAAACTGTAGCTTTAGAATGTGTAAAGGATTTAAACAAAAAGGGAAGTGACTCTATCCCAAGCTCCTGGAGATGGAAGATAGACATCAAGGTTGCTGATTAATAATTTCAAAAGGGGAAGTGGGACATCACTGCTCTAGATTAATGATCCTAGAAAACAGAAGTTGGACCCCACCACCTGCACACACATCCTGGGATGCACACAGCAGAGTACAGAAATTGGAAAGGAGCCAGGCATCACCATCACAGATTTATGATCCTAAAGCACACAATTGTGATGTCAAAATGTAGAAATAGAGACTGCCAAAAGCTCATGGAAGAAATGGAAAATGTACACAGTAGAGTATAGAAATTGGAAAGGAACCAGGCATCACCAGCACAGATTTATGATCCTAAAGCACAGAATTGTGATGTCAAAATGTAGAAATGGAAACTGCTGAAAGCTCGCGTAAAAATTGGGAAATAAAAACTGCAGAAAGCTCATGGAAGAAATGGGGAAATAGAAACCACTGGGAAAAGCTTATGAATATGCATGAATATGATCAATAAATATCAGCAAGCCCAACAATCAGTGTACAGTTGTTCCCCCACCACTGTACCCAGCACTGTCTTTGCTCATAGGTTACCACATTAATTAATAAATTGAATAACTGCTTGATTTATTAGCTGAGTCAAGCTTCTCATTTCTAACACTGGGGAAACCATGGCAGTTTTGGTTGGAGTTAAGGAACATTAAAAATAAAATATGTTCAACCTAGTGGGGGCAAATATTTAATATTTGAGGTGTTTAGAGGTGTTGGTAGCAAGGCAAGTGCTGAGAAACTCTCTGAGCATGGAAAACATTGTGGGGAAGGCAAAGCAGGTGCCACTTAATGCACGTTTTAATGTGGTATTAAATTAAAATGTGGGTTTTAATCAAGGCTGATTTTTTTCCTGGCTGGCAAAAGGTTACAGGAGGGAAAATTGATAAGAAGAGAATGGCAGAACCCCAGGAAATTTCACAAATGTTGGTAGAACCTGTGGGTTGTACTGGAAATGGGTGAGGCCAGCTGGGCATTCAGCATTTCTAGCAGAATAAATACATCCCATGGAGCCAGTAAGGAACATTTAAATAATTCCTCGCCTAATTTCAGTGTGTTTCAAAGCCTTTGGGTTGTTTTGGGGCTGTACATTACGTTATTCAGCCTCATAATAAATGAATTTTTCATTTTCTCAGGACTGTAGTATTTAAAATTAAGACTCAGTACAGTGCTCCCAATTTTCTTTATCTGTGCTATTGAAGTGAACCTGATTTAAACCTTTTGCAAAAGTCTCTAAAAACACAAAAGGATTTCCTCTCATTTTCCGGTGCTTTGACTCATTTTCCTTGGAAAGAGAATTATAAATAATTTCCTTTTGAGCTCTGCCAGATTTCTCTGTTGTCAGATGTTTTTATCTATACATTCCTGACAGTTCTCTTTTAAATTCTTCATTTTTTAATGTGGATTCTGGGTCTTTCAAGCCTCTTCCTCTTCCTCAGACTAAATATTATCATTGTAGAAGTGAATTGTGGCTTGTACAGGAAAACTGGCCAGAACCTTCTCTCCAATGTTAGCAAGAAACTTCTGGGATTTGGATTTGGGCAAATAAAGCCTGAGAAGAAGAAAACACGTTTTAAGAGAAAAAGTTAAACAGTGCAACACTTTCCCATCCAATCTAGCCTGAACATTAAAACTTATTTCTTAATTAATTAAATCTAGAATTAGGATCAGGATACCAGGGTTAGATTTGGGTTGGTGGCCTGAGGTACAGAGGTTGATTTTAGTGGATTTTGTGTTTCCAGGTGGAGGAGGAGGAGGTGTAGACTGATTTATGTATTTCAAAATCCACATTGTTTTGTATTACAATAATAAATGGCTCCTCTTGGTTTCACTTGGGCCAATTTCCAATGAAATCTGACAGCAGTTAAGGTCACCCAGAATTTCAGCTGCCACAGCTTTTAGAATAAAGGTTTGTAAAGAAAAGGGAGATTTCATTGATTTTCCTCCTCCAAAGGAAAATCCCAATTAGGAGTTTCCTAATGAGAGAATGCAAATATTGGTGAAGACCCTTATCAGTCCTCTGACCTTAACAAGCTTTATCTGGAGTTCAATTTTTCATCAAGAGCAAATTAAAGCAACCTCAAATCTGTACCAATCCCACTCCATTAGCAGCTGTTCCCATTCATTATTTGGGCTTAGTGAGCAATAAATGGAAACGTAAATTAGGTGAGGCAAAAAATGGAGCTTTAAAATTACTTTTTCCTTATTTTCATCTTTTTTAGGCTCTGTTCAGCCTGGGCATCTTTGCTGAGGGATAAAAATCTGTGCAGTTTGGTGAGTAATTAAATTGTTACTAAAATGAGATATTTTCCAGGGACAAATTGATCCTTCTCCTGAGAAAGAAGGAGTTTCAGCTTTTTTTTCTTTCTTTTTTTTTTGGTCACTTTTCCTCTCTCAGGTGACAGGATTAACTCACCTCACTGGATGCTGGAACCCCAGGGCTCCTTTTGATATCCAATTTATCCTTTCACCATCCATTTCTGGCTGGAAAGAGACACATTTATTAATTAGAATGGACTCAAAATGAAGATTTCACTTATTTTCTTTAGGGAACTGGAGAATTCCACAGCAATGTTGCTTTGTTTGCTTTTTCCTCTGAGTGGAATTCTTGACACCATCACTGTGGGTCTGTCCTCTTGTAAAAATAAAACCTCAGGACCTCTGTTGGTTGTGCCTCAATCTCTATTTTTGTTCCTTCAGCTTTCTCACCCAAGCAAGTAAAACTAAAAATCCCAGTGCATGTCAAAGCCAGACAGAGTTACTTTAAATTTCAATTTTCTGTTGATTTCCTCAGTGGTTTACTTATAGCAACATCCCTCCCAAAATAGCCAATAAATAAAATTATGCACATAAAAGCATGTTTTTAAAAGTAATTTTCACTTAAACTCTCCCTATATACAAAACATCACATCCAGATTATGCCCAGAGATTTCAAATTGAGGTTATTTATATATATATATATATATATATATAATTCAGCAAATATGAAGTGCTGTTAAAATGAGGGTTGTGTGGAGTAAGCAGTTGTTTCAGCAGCTCTTGATATTACATTAGTAATATAAATTATTGCTACATTATTATTACTTTATTACTACATCGTTATTACTAAATTAAATATATTAATAATCTATTAAGAAGAACTGATAATAATTCTATACCTAACACTAAATTAGAGATACTCTCACCCATCACCATGCACAGAACTCAAATGAAACCATGTTTTTCCAGCACTAAAGAAATGCTTGAAAGAAAAAATGAGGAACTGACCAAGCCTGGCTTTCCATGTTCAATTCCTGCTTTTCCCCAAGGGTTTTTCCCCCCAGAATTTGCTCTCACCATTTGCTGGCTCTCCCCATCCCTTGCTGGGAGCATCCAGGGCCTCCACAAAGCAGAGCTGCTGGAAAATCAGGATACAAAGGAATTATGGAATATCCTGAGTTGGGAGGGACCACCAGCATCACGGGATCCAACTCCTGGCCCTGCACAGACCCCCAAAATCTCACCCTGTGCATCCCTGAAGCATTTCCATGTAGTAAATCTGATTTTTATGGCGATATTTGGCTTCTCCCCACACGCCAGCCACCCCCTGGCTCATTTTTTTACCAAGAGTTCCTTTCCCTTTAGGATCTCCCAGTTCCAAGTGAACTTGAGATGGTTTAAATAACACTGAAATCTTTTTATTCGTGCAGAAAAACCCCAAATTACTTCTCCCTGCCTCCCTCACAGATTCCCTGTGCTCACTGAGTGCCTGGTTATTTTTTGAGGCAGCAACTCCAGCATTAATCCAAGGAGAACAATCTGATCCCATTAGCCCAGATGGAGTGCTGGGTGCTGTGTCTGCCTTTTTTTGGTTGGGGTCACCACGATTCTGGATGTTTTTCCACCAGGATTTTCCATCTCTGGTGCTGTGCAATAGATCCAGCTGGAGAAATGGAAAAGCGCTTTCAAATAAACATAAAAATGATAACAATAAGGTTATCACAACCTTAATTTTAGTTCTGAAATGCTGGCTTAGAAGGAGGAAGTCTCAGCAAAACAAATAAAATAATGAAATTATTATAATAAAATGAATAAAATTAAAAATAATAATGATGCTTTTAGAAATACATTTTGTCCTTTACTCCTGATATTGACAAAAGTTTTTGGGATTCTAGTCGTTGGAATAATTCCATACTCACAGTTGGAGATTCCCCAGCTGGAAAAGCCTCCCTGGTCCTGCCTTACCTGCCCGGGAGCTGCGGGGAATCCCGGGAATGCCGTGAGCGGCTCCCGGCTGCTCTCTCCATGGGTTCGGATGTTCTGAAAGCTGGGAGGGAGAGGCTGTGAGCCCCTCCTGTGTGCGAGCTGCCAAAGAACACACCTAAAACAAACACGGCAAGAGCAGGGAAATGCCCGAAGGAGAGCTTTTCCCAAGGAGTTCACAGGTAGGACAGGCTCGCACCTTGGAGGCTGTTCCAGGGACAGCAATCCCAGGAAAACAGGGATCTTTCCTTTCCTTTCCTTTCCTTTCCTTTCCTTTCCTTTCCTTTCCTTTCCTTTCCTTTCCTTTCCTTTCCTTTCCTTTCCTTTCCTTTCCTTTC